GTACGCGACACGGAAGAGGTTCGAGCGGACTGCGCGCGCCGCGCATCCTCCCGCGTTCACCTGGTGGACCATATTTCGGCAACGGATTGATGGATTTTGATTAAAAAAATTGATCACTATTTATTACACAAGAAGGAACAACTTTTGTCATGAACATTTTCTTCTATTTGCCAATGTTTCCCATAAAAAAAAAAATAAAAAAAACCACTTAATTTGTTTATAACTATTAATTGCACGCACTTACATAAAAAATACCACCGGATTCGGATTTCTCATACCCGAAAACATNAAAACACCTCAAAACCTTACCGCACTAGAAGTGCACACGGGAAGGGGGTATTGCGTGTGGACTAGTTTGAATTTAAACTCTAGTTTAAACTGAAGAGTTTAAATTTAAACTGAAGAGTTTAAATTTAAGCAAAAATATCGAAATTGAGAACATCTCGAAATACGTAAAAATGTAATTAAATTCTTCAGTTTAAACTAGAGTTTAAATTCTTGAGTTTAAACTAGAATTAGCTTAAAAATTCAATTTTTACCTATTTCGACATTTTTGTTTTTCTTTACGAAAATTGAGATAATATGATGATTCAAATTAAACGTTTATCAATGAAAATGGAAATGGAATGGAAGCTTCGGAGAAAAAAATTAATTTCTCTATGATCTAATTGAGATAATCGAAAAAATATCTAGTTTTATTCTATGGAATCTACCGAACATTTTGACAGAAAAGAAGTTTAAATCGGATGAAAATTGCGAGAAGGAGTATTTCGAAGCCAAACACACGAAAAACGACGTTTTCGCCATGGCGGGCGGAAAGGACACAAAATCTGCCTTTTCGCCTACGCCGTGACGAAAAATAACGTTCTCACCACGGGAGGTAAAATAAAGGACCCTTACCCACGTGCTTACCACCCTCGTCTTCAGCTCGGGTGGTAATTCTGCACGTGGGCACGACTCCTTTATTTTCCCCCCCCCCTTGGTGGGAAATATGCTATTTCGCCTGACGTACGGGGTAAAATGAATTGGGTATGAATTTGTTCTTAGTTTTTTCGGTAGTCCATGATATATCAAAAGTCGCTCGACCGTTATTTTCCTCAACCGAAGACTTTCAAATTTCACCAAGGTCCCCCCTTGAATTATGACAAACAAAATTGTCATGGTACGTATTAAAAAAAATGAGGGTCCTATTCTCACATCTCTAGGTGAAACCAGCGCTGCCTTATCGAAGGCAGCTAAAGACAATGGAATTTGCGTCATTGGGGGGACTATTCCGGAGAGAGAAGACGGTAAACTGTACAACACCTGCACAGTCTGGGATACCGAGGGCCAATTGATCACGAGACATCGGAAAATGCACCTCTTCGATATCGATATTAAGGACAAAATAACTTTCTTCGAGAGTGAAACGCTCTCCCCCGGAAATGACCTCACTATTTTCGATTTCAAGGGCTGCAAAATCGGTATCGGGATATGCTACGACATCAGATTCGAGGAGATGGCGAAATTATACAGGAACAGGGGGTGCCAGATGCTGGTGTACCCGGCTGCATTCAATTTGACCACTGGGCCACTGCATTGGGAGCTACTGCAGAGGTCAAGGGCTAATGATAATCAGTGCTACGTTGTTTGCGTCTCTCCGGCGAGAGGCGTCGGGCCTGGCTACGTCGCCTGGGGGCACAGCCAGTTGACGAGCCCCTGGGCGAGAGTCCTCTGTGATCTGGGGACTGGGGAGAAGCTGCAAGTTGCTGAAATTAGTAAATATCCGTGTTTTTTGTTTTTTTTTTATTACTTGGAACAGTCATGCCGAGGAATTTTCACAGAAAATATCTCAATATAAGATTAAAATTTATTAATTTGTTCTGTAAAATATTTTCTACTTAAAATGACTGCATTTTTTAAGTTATTCCAATTTTTTAGTATTTTTATACTTAAAAAATGCAGTAATTTTAAGTAGAAAGTATACTATAGAAACTAGATGAGTGTAGAAAATTTCTATGAGAAATCCTCGACATGAATTTCCCATTTTTTACCTTGTTTGTTTCCTTTTCACAAAAAAATGCCGAGGGATTTTTGCAAAAATATATCAATGAAATCAGTCGTTTAAACCATCAAAATCTGTCGGTTTTCTCTATAAAACATTTCCAATTAAAAATTTTTACTTTGAAAAAATTTTCAATAGAAGTTTAATAGATTTTTCATGAGATTTTTCTATACCTGCAATGACATGGTGATTCCTTCTTTTCACAGATCTCGAAGAAGTTGAAGAAGTCAGAAGTCAAATCCCCATATCCAAACAGAGACGAACAGATATTTACGACACAATCGACAAAAAATACAACATCTAATGATTTCAATTGCACCAAAGATGAAAAAAAAAATCACCAAGGGAAAAATAAATTTCAATAACTGAACAAATAAAAAAGGATGAACTTATTCAATAAATTTAAAACATCTTTATTAACTTTCAGTTAAATAACGTAATAAAAAATCTATTTTGAAATACATAATAGCATTTTTCATATAATTATAATATATCCTATCATATTAAATCGTATCTTACATTAAAATGCACGCATTGATAAAATTTATCTCTTCATTAGACTTAATCAAGGAGAACCAGCCCCCCAACTACGATATCAAGTTAAAATTAATATACTTACTTTCGCATAGGCACTGATGAACTATAACATTAGGTGTGAAAGACTCGAGTTTGCATGTAAAAATGTTGATAAATTGAAGAACAGATAATTCATATTCTTAATAAAAATCCAAGCATTAATTAAAGGAGGAGAAATTCCTCAAACATTATCAATGATAAAATTTGATTATTCATTAGTATCCTCATTTTTTGGGCTCGCAGTGGCCCTCAGGCGTCTCTCTACTAGTTTTTACGTAATTTAAAGCATTGATATGTGTCAGCACTATAATTCGTCAATTTGAGTGCATCCAGAAATCCAGAAAAATAATTTATCTTTGGAAGGATGGGATCTGTTGAAATATATCACATCTTTCTTCGTGGAGAATTTTATGCTCTGCACAAACGCTTTGTGACATTTTTTTAAACCTTCGAGTTTCAGAGATATTTACGTAAATAGTTACCAGGAAGCATGGGAAATTTTAAAATTATTCAAGACAAATTCACATCCTTTCGTGAATATTTCTTGAAGTGCTACCAAAAGAGAGAAAAAAAATTATTTATTCAGTAGCAAAGTGGTAAAATGGTTCAAGTCGATTTTGACTGTTGGCCAGTTTTCAATGAATATCTCGGAGTCTAAGGGAGACAGCCAAATATTTGTAACCACCTTTTTTTACAGCCCTCAAGTTGCTCTACAAAAAAAGTTTTCACGAAAATTTCGCTATCTCTCTAAAATTCGGAGATATTTCTCGAAAGCGATCAGTTGACTTAAGGCTATATGCAAGTATTTTACGGTTTGGTGCAGACCGTTATGCAATTTTTTAATTATTCCGTGCATCTTCCTCCAAAAGTAGACTTTCTAATTTTTTTCTAATTTTTTTAATTTTCCAACGGTTGAATATCGAGATTCAAATTCAGATCTGCAAAGTTAAAAAAATAAAATCATTGTAAAATGTCCGGAAACTCTAGGTGAAACGGGGCTCAAATGAAAGCTCTGCTGTTCAACTACAAAAGTAGAAAAGCATTTCACAGTAGAAAAAGTAGCCAAAGTACTCAGCTATCCTTAACCCGTTTTACCGCTTCGCTGATTCATTTCCCCACCTTCCTTCAATCCCGAGAAATTTACAAAAAAATCTGAAAGAATGAACTACATTTTGCTCATTCACTCCTAATTAAAAAGAAAACAGCTCCCGCAGACGAATTAAATTTCTGGACATATAACAAGAAGAATAAATAGAAAAGCAATCGATCATTATCATTAATAATGAAAAAAAAAGAATTCGAAGCAATAAAACATTGGAATATTAAATATACATATCCATGAGGCTGACAATGGGAAATACTCGAGTATTGGTGATGCAAGTGATCGCATATCACTCGATCCAGCAACTGGGGCGTCACAAGAGGTCCCAGGGAAGGCAGACAGTGCAAGGAGCCATCAAGTATCTCCTTGATCTCCCGATGACGTCTGCAGTCTCACAATTATCGAGTTGACAATGCACATGACACTTGAATATTCCCTCGTTCCTCCCCGGCATTTTACTCACAAAATCCATCGTGCTCTTTGGTCTCTCTTCTCGATCTTCCGATGACGTCTGCAGTCTCACAATTATCGAGTTGACAGTGCACAAGACACTTGAATATTTCCTCGTTCCTCACCGACATTATTTATTCATAAAATCCATGGTGCTCTTTGGTCTCTCACCTCAACATGACACCTCCGTTATTATTCGACGAAGCAGCATGCTAATCGGTTATTATATCTGCCAGAAGGAGGCTTGTCAAGATACTCAAGACATTGACGAGTGGATTTCTCGAGTGGTTTTGAGTTGATGAACTGTTTATCCTGAATTCCGGCAGACCCAGGTCTGGGGCTGTACTGTTCAGGCATTGGAACTCACAGCAACGCTCGCCAACTCTGAATCTTTTACATTTCTGAAAAAAATAATTAGATCACTATTATTAACTCTCGATCACTCGCTCAACGAGCGCAGCGCCGCCCGTTTGCGTTTTTTATATTTTAGCGTCTCTGGACGCTTAAAAATTCTGAAAAACCCGAGTTGTTCGATACTTTTATTAAGCGTCGGCATTGTCCGCTTTTTCTCGGGAAATTTGTTCAGCAAACAATAGAAAAGAAACGTCGAACGCGTGCGAGGGTCCCTGTCGATTCCGCGGGCGGCAGTGTTGCTACGTTCACCGTCACGCTTGAAATGCGCACACAGCGGTAAGCGCCAAGATGGCAACAGCGCGCTTAATTTAACTCAGCGATTCTCCGCTAACTGTGCGACGGACGAAGGCTAGCGGCTGAGCGCGAGTGATCGAGAGTTCTTCGAGGTTCTTTCAGAGTTTTTGATGAAAATTAGCTCGATAAACGAGCGGTTTGAATATGCATCTGACATCGAATTCAGTTCCGTATTGTTGATATATTGAAGAAAAATATTAACCCCTCACGGACGGGGAACTTTTGTTTCCAAGCGCGGAGTACGCTCGATACAACTAGAATGTAATGACTTTTAATCAACTGAAAATTATAAACCCGATATGTAATTGAAGCTATAGTATTCCTGTTTACGTTGTTATTTGTTTGGTTGAGTTAAATTCCATAGTTTTGGAAATAATCAATTTTAAAGAGTGTCACTCATATTTTCATGGGTCGATGTATGGCATCGATCCGTTACGTGAGGGGTTGAGAATAGCTTGAAAAAAAATCGAATCGTATTGTGTTGATAATTTTATCTATTTCATGGGGAAATTTTTAGAATTTCGATATCTACAATAGTACGAAAGATAATGAATTTTTGTTAATCACGGAAAAGGTCTGTATGACATATAGACGTCGGCCGGTAGGACAAGCTAACGAGCAATATTTCTAATGCTTTTAAATTGAAAATTCGTCATTTGAGGCTGAAACTTGGGATTGAAAAATTGAAAAAAATTCATGCAATTTCCCTATTAGGTAAAAAATTAGATCTCCAGAAATTCTTGCATTAATTTGTTTAATCGAATTTGCATAATATAATTTTTCCATGTTCAACTACTTCCGTCTGGTCGAATAATAAGCAAAAGCCAATATCTCCAATAGAAATTGAATGAATAAATCATCTAGTACTTACATAAGGGGGTGAGCAGTAAATGGCTTTACACCACATCGGTTCTGAATGATAACAAACACAGAGGCTGCATACCGCCGGTCCAGGGACATAAAGGAGTCCATGGGTCACTGTTCCCCCTTGGAAATCTGTGCAATTCTCTTCCAATCCCCCTGAAAGGATTAAAAACCTCTGAATCAGACGCTTCTGATTATTTACTTGAGAGAAGTAAAGGATTTTCAATGGTGTAAATCTCAGAATGTCCCGCGTTACTTCCGAATTACTTCAAAACATCCGCACGGAAGTTATTATTGAGAAATTAATTGATTTGTGAAACATTGAATGGGATTTCCATTTTCAAGTCCATGCGCAAATGAGATTTATGAGATTTCGGGCAACTATTTTCTTGAATTCCGAATCTATTGCAAATTCAATGCAATTATTCATCTCGTCTTGCACAATAAAATAAAAAAAATCAAGATTTCATCAGAATAAGTCACCAATTTTATAAGATTTGATATTCAATTGAATTCAAAATTACAGCATTAAAAGTGCGCATGCAGTTATCACTCAAATTTTTACGAATGCCCACCACTATCTTTCTTCATTCACTTACAGACAGTCTGCAAGAAGACGAGAGCTGCGAGTGCCCCTAGGAGCAAACTGAAATAGTGCCCAGCGAACATGTTTACAATAAAAATTGTTCAATTGGATCCTTTGCCGGAAGGGTTGATTTATCCGATGACTGCAGTCAGCATAAATTTAAAATCCAGAAAATCACCACTTATCTCGTCCCGTCGACCTACGGTAGGCAGGAACATATTCTCTGTGAAGGAGAGAAAACAGGAGTGAAAAGAAGTAAAGTTTTGCATACCGAGAATGTCAATGTTTGGGCGCAGACCTTCGGGCGATGGCCAGTTGGAAGTTCTTTCACGAAAGTTTTCAGTACGAGTGTGTAAAAGTGTTTTTTGATCCGTGGGGGGTGTGCCGCACTCCCAAGGGTCAAAGGACACTTTCCCCACGAGCGTCGAACCCTATTATTCATCACAATGAGCGAACGCGGAGCGTGTGTAAAATTTCACTTTACGCACAAGTGATGAAATAGTATTGTTGGGATATGTGATTTTGAATGAGTTTTGTTTTGTGGCGATAGAGGGCATTAGGAGGTGAACAATTGCGTGGAAGTTTCGGCGCAGAGTGCACTGAGAAAAAAAATTATATTTGTCAAATATCCATTTACTTGAGAGAAGTATTTATTTTTCCAATACTGTATTTCTCCAGTCGGGTCATTCCCAGGTGAGCTTAATAGGTTCCAATTATGACAATCATGATGTTCTAGAGGATGAGTATGTTGCACATGACCTTGGATAAACTCCTCCAAGAATTATTCATTTTTATCATCATAATCCTATAGAAACCCCCATAGAATTTCTATAGAATTCCAATAGAATTTTCTAGCGAATTCGCTAGGTTTTCTATTGAATTTTTTCATGCGTGTGGGGGTAATGTGGTTGCTTTTGTGCGGGTGCGTAAAGTTCGCACGAGATTACATCTGAATTCAAAGATTCAATAGATATTAAGTACCTCTCCCTTCCGTGAGAAAAGAATGACACATGAATTAATTAAACATAATGAATACGTTCAATTGACGGAATTGGCGATATAAAATGGTGGTGGACGGTTCTATTGTGACCCAAGGAACCCAGGTCAATTTGAAAGAAGTTATAATTACCCCTTACACGCTGTTATAACAGAAATACTAATATTCACTATTTCAGTAGCGAATGTAGCGATGCGGTAAACCGGGTCAAGTCGATTTTGAGTATTGGCCAGTTTTTGGCGAATATCTCAGAATCTAGAAGAGATAGGAAATTTTTTGTCATTACCTTTTTTGTAGACGCAATTGATGGCTATGAAAACGGTCGTGAGAAAAATTTTGCTATCTCTCTTAGATTCCGAGATATTTATCAAAAACTGGCCAAAAGTCAAAATCGACTTGACCCGGTTTACCGCTTCGCTACTGATTTCATCACTTATGCGTAAAGTATAATTCTCTTTACTTTCCGCACGTTGTGATGAAAAATAGTTATAAAACTGCTCTGATGACAATGAATTCATATCAATTGTAGTGTTTCTTTCTTTCTTGCTTCGTCATCAACTGAATTTCAGAGTTTTCATTTTTATGTTATTTAAAAGTCATTTGAGAACATATACAATTTCAGATTTTTACTATGATTCAGACTTACATATGAAACTAAATTTTGATAACATTCTCTTTCAACAAATTACACACACCAAGTTGACAGTTTAAAGGCACAAGTGCAAGTGAGTCTAATCGGTTGGCGCTCTTCCTTTTATAGTGAATATCTAGGGTTGTTGCTAAAAGCGAATGACGTGTATAGTCGTATCTACGGAACTTTTTTCGATGCGCACTTGAACTGTTTTCTAATTTTAATTGCTGATCAGTGTGTCGTGATTGGATCGCGATAACATGAGAAGATCCTGTGAGAGTACAAAAAGAATGAAAAAAATTGCGCGGCCTTTAACACTTAACATGAGAGAAGTGGCAAGATTCTTGCCTAAAAATAAACTTGCACATTGCTAGAATAATCTCAAGAATTACAAATCTGAAGACATTTTTTTTATTTGATATATCGAATTCAGACATCCTACCTCTCTCGAGTTTGTGTAGAATTCACGTGAATTATTATCAATTTATCCTGTGAATTCCTTGTTAAGAGAAATGTTCAAAATACACCGTAATGTAATTTCGGGAAAACTAATTTCATTTCAGGTATCTCCACTTGGAAAGTGGATATCTGGAAGTAGAAGAATATGTAGGGAAAATGGAATTCTTGAATAAAGAATGGGGAAAGGGGGGCTAAAATGGGCCATTCTGGATGGTCAATATCTGGAGATTGAGTTCATCCAAATTGTATCGCTTGGTCAGCCGATATTGAGGTTTTCAACATGTCCATGTCCCATCTCTTCATTGTTGTTCCTAATTCAAGAATAATTTCTCTCTTGTTGAAAGTGATACACTGAGAGAAAAATTTGAAGTTCGATTTACAATAAGAAAATAGTTGAGGCAGTTTTGGTGAACGATACGATTTTTTTTGTATGCGGCACATATCATTATAGTAACTTCCCAAGCGTAATTTTTGCAAATCAAAATGCAGTTAAACTAACCAAAGTTCAAAAGTAACCACGACAACGCTATCGTGAGTAGAACAATAAAATAGTTCCAATGACTACATTCCATTGTAGTAATTACTTCTCCGGCCATAGTTACCGTAATCTATAAAAAATTGTTGAGGACTTTTTGACTATAATTCGATGGTGATGGAATATAGTCAGATGAATCATATTTTTCTCTCAGTGTACGCGATATCATTGCAAGGAAAAAAGATTTTTGTTTTCAAAATTAACTCAAGAATTACTGAACTGTGAAAAATGATGACCAATGACTGAAAGATCGGAAATAAATGCCATTTTTCAAAACTATACGTTGAAATCACACTTGAAACATAATTAAAAAACTATTCACGAAAGATTGTATAAAAATGAAAAATTCTCGTATTGCAAATTGGATTATACAAACAACAACAATAAACAAGCCTCAAAACTAAGACTAAACATGAAAATTAATTATTCCTCTCAATGAGCGAAAATCAACCCAAAATTCAAAATCAACCCAAGAATTAATGAACTGTAAAAAATGATGTCCAATTACTGAAAGATTGGAAATAAATACCATTTTTCAAAACTATACGTTGAAATCACACTTGAAACATGATTAAAAAACTATTCACGAAAAATTGTATAAAAATGAAAAATTCTCGTATTGCAAATTGGATTACACGAACAACAACAATAAACAAGCCTCAAAACTAAGAATAAACATGAAAATTAATTATTCCTCTCAATGAGCGAAAATCATCCCAAAATTCAAAATCAACCCAAGAATTAATGAACTGTAAAAAATGATGTCCAATTACTGAAAGATCGGAAATAAATACAATTTTTCAAAGCTATACGTTGAAATCAGACTTGAAACATAATTAAAAAACTATTCACGAAAGATTGTATAGAAATGAAAAATTCTCGTATTGCAAATTAGATTACACAAACAACAACAATAAACATGAAAATTAATTATTCCCTTCAATGAGCGAAAAAAAAAGATCAAATCCATGTGGGATAGAATGGTGCATGCTATATCTCGCAATGCACCAGCATATGCGATATAGGAAAAAAGTTTGACCCAGTGACACAACGCGCAACTTGGCACGAATGCAGACATCATAAAACAATAGCACATAAAATCCATACCCAATAAAATTTTTCCGTTTTCACCGATCAAATCCCCGGAATCCACACTTCCTCTTCAAAAATAGTCTGACCACCAAAAAGCCACTGGAAAAATGTCCCTTTCCACTAGCATCATGAGTCCCAAAAGATCAATCAACCGAGTCTATTTCCATCCACATCAACACCGGAAGCTCCAGATGTACCTTAAACGCGTTTGCTTAACAATCCCAGAAGTGCAGTCAGGTGCGACGACCCCAGGTCTCAGACAACATGAGCCCTCCCCCAAAACATCACCGCGGCGGATCCAGGATGATCCAGGGTCACTCCTCGATCTGCACTTCAACCACTGAATATTTAGTGAAAAATCCTCAACACACGAAATTAATTTAAAAAACGATCCTTTCCTCCCTTCACTCAGGTGATCTGCAACAGCTGATGATATCCGGATAGACCGCAGTGGCTGTTATAACGCACCCGAAGCGTTTTACTTGGTAACGCATACACCGGGTCGATTGAACGACTGCAATTGTTAAACCACCGACCCAGCCAACACCAATCGCACAACTGCTCTTAGTACAGCTGCACCGATGACGTACCCCAACGAACACCATTTCCTCCTTCAACCCTCTCCTCCTCCCGCCCCCATCCACCCCGTCGATGGCATCCCCTCGTGTACTGCGCGCCTGTCAAATGAAAACGACGGGTCATGTTGGAGGGAATGTCACGTGATGTGTTTATTTTTTTTAGGGGCGGGGGGAGGTGGTTTATTAGTTGCTCGTGCGAGGATTTTAATTGCATGACCTTTAATTAATTGAAATGCAGTGTTCGCATTGAACGGGGCGGGTTTAATGCACGAAAAACTTTTCTAGAATAATTCAATGGGGTTTTTGTGGAACTTTTGCAAGTTTTTCGCCTTTTCTAGAGAAATTTTCCCTTTTTTGCAGGTTTTCTTCCAATCAACACTACTTCATGGGAAAAATCGACAGAATTTGGGAGATTTAGGCGACTTATTTTATCGAGATATTTGGTTATTTTATTTTTAACGAAATTTGTTGCAAGTTCCTGCAAGAACTTGCAAGGGACCATCGCCCGAGGGTCGTCATCCGGGTTTTACATCTTACGTGCATACACAGGAAGAAAACACACGCATACATGTGGAGCGAAATGTAATTCATGAAAAATGAAAGAAAAATAACTGCTTGTGGGAGATCACTGTTAGAAAATTACTCTTGAAATTTCAAATGAAAAAGCTTGAAATTTTTAATAACGACAAAGTTACGTGAAATTTCTGTAGAATTCTTCATTAAAGAATCAGTTAATTTCTTGAATATTCAAGTAATTCACGATTTTCAGGCCCATACGGTACTGAAAAACCTTGAAAATTTTGAAAATTCAGACAGTAACTTCTCTGAATTTTCAATCTATTGAAAATTGAATTATATGTGATGTTCAATTTTCACGACGACTTTCGAAATTCAAGCTTTCATTGAAAAATCAATGATTCTTTAACATGAAAAAACCAATTTTCTTGAATTGTCAAGATGAATGAGAAATTTAGTGAACGTTTTCATTTGAAATTGAACTCAAACTCACAACATTGAAAATTCAGATGACATTGTGATTGATATTTCAAGAAATTTCCAACAGTGTACATTGTTAAAAAAATTTTTGTGAAATTTTCGGTATACTTTTTGGAAATTTTTATCGAATTTAATTACCACTGAAATTTCAAGGAATTTCGTCATTGAAAATTCAGAATTCCGCGGAAAAATCAAAGAGACTATGAAATTCAGTTCCATTTTTCCCTGAAAATGAATAGAAAACCACAAAATTCCGGTAAATATATTCTTGAATTTTCAGAACAGCGACACTGAATGCGATGTGTGGGGGAAAAAATGATCAATTTAATTCAATAATAACTCAATTAGTTAATTTAAATAATCGATTTCACTGATTATTTTTCTCACTCGGATTTCTAAAAAATTTCCGACGGAAATTCACTAGTAGCTTTTCAAATGTTTCTCATCTTTCAACGCTTTTCACGTTTAATATTCTGTGTGACAGATAAACAAAAAAGTGGGTTGTAAATGTATGGCTGTGTAAATGTATCCAGATGCTGTTCACTGCAGTCTGCTTGGCCGAAATCCGAGTGGAAAAATAATCCGTTAAATACCACTCGTGCTTCAAAATTAATCGGAAAATATCCGATCATTTTGAAGCACTAGTGGTATTACTCCTGAAAATTCAATGTAATCTGGCACTGAATATTCATATTAGATTAAAAATTCAAATGAATTGAGAAATTCTCGTCTTTATGCCCCTTAAAATTCTGGAATTTCACTGAATTTTCAGTGAAACCTGAAATTTCATTATTTTTTTCCCCTAAATCGCATTCAGTGTCACTGTCCTGAAAATGAGTAATCAAGTTTACGATTCGTTCCGAGGAACCACTCACTCCCTGATTGAGTGACATCAAGATTAAAAACGGTTGAATCTACAGTGTAGTCTGTATTAAATTGTAAAAGATCCTCAGATATCCTTAAAAAATGACGAAATAATTTTTTAGATCGCGTATCTCATATGGCCAAAAAATGACGGTGATTTGGCATCACTAGTTGAAGTATGTCTTTCCACAAGACTCTTCACGTGATGAACTTCGTGGAATGTTTGCAAATCGTTTGAGGACAGGAGTGCAAACATTCAGGTGTCACTCACACTATTACATCCCTAGAGCCCGAAATTATCGCCCTAAGTATCCTTGGAAGGGGCAGGAGTGGTGCTATGGCAACGGAAGTGTGTTTGGCTTTTCCTCAAGGAAAACATTATCCTTCCAGTTGAGATAATTCCAAACAATTAACGCCCGCAGTAACTAAAACTTTCCCTTTGAAGACATGAACGATAATCTGTCTCTGAAGGCTCAGGAGAGTCTCATTAAGCGATCGCTGCGTGAAAAGGTCGATACTATTTAACGCGTCGAACTAAGTTTAAAACGTGTGATATATCAAGAATTCCGAAAAGTTTTATCATTTTGTGAATCTCTTTAGGAGGAGAAACGTGCTCAAGGACGGAGACGAAGTCTGTTGTATCTTATCCTAGATTTTTTACGGCAGGAGGGGTAAATTAGTTATGATTCTGAGTTCATTACATTTTTCATTATTTGACTAACCACAATTGCGGAATTTATAAAAATATTTATTTACACACAGGAAAACCTAAACGTAAATTAGGTTTTGATAAACGTAAGATACGCTTTTTTGCGAATTATAAACTTTGTTTAGGCGTAAATTACGCCTAAACAAAGCGCAGTTTATGTTTAGCAAAACGTAAATTATGCATACACTGTTGAGAAAAAAATGAAATTTCATGGAAAATTGACGACCAATTTTCAGGACAGTGACGCTGAATGCGATTTACGGGGAGAATATCGTGAAATTTCAGGTTTCACTGAAAATTCAGTAAAATTCCAGAATTTTAAGAGGCATAAAGACGAGAATTCCTTAATTTATTTCAATCTCCAATCTAATATGAATACTCAGTGTTAAATTGCATTGAATTTCCAGTGAAATCTGAAATTTCATGGTTTTTTCTCTTTAAATCGAATTCAGTGTATATTTACCACAATTTTCTGGTTTTCTGTTCATTTTCAGGGAAAAATGGAACGGAAATTTACAGATCTGTTTTTTTTCCACAACATTCTGAATTTTCAATGACAAGATTTCCTGAAATTTCAGTGGCATTGCAATACGATAAAAATTTCCAAAATTTGGCACGGAAAATTCAGACAAAAATTTTTAACAGTCTAAACAAAGCGCCTTTTACGTTTATCAAAACATAAATTACGTTTATCAAAACGTGAATTACGTTTATAAAAAATACGAAAAAATCATCGTAATTTACGGCTTGAGTATAATTTAAGAATACGAGATCGTAAATTACATCTATGTAATCGTAATTTACGACGATTTTGAGCGTAATTTACGATTTATAATCGTAGTAATTTACGATTTCGCAATCGTAAATTACGCCCATAACCGTCGTAAATTACGTTTATGTAATCGTAATTTACGACGATTTTGAGCGTAGTTTACGCTTCAAAGACGACTTAACGTAATTTACATTTAGGTTTTTCTGTGTATTATTTACACAGATTTCGATATCATTCGATTGTTTAATGTGACATACGGACAGATCAATTTCAAGATCGTCTTCATTCGATGAAACGACATTCAATTAAAGTAGTATATCCAAACTCCACGCAGGGATGGCCATCAGTATTATATTTCCTCAATATAAAAATATTAAAAATTTTGTTGCCTCCAGCCTATCAGAGAGTTCAGAAACATTGATGCGAGAGGCGCAATTAACGCCGGAGGTTCAGGTGTGCGACAACATCGATCTTGAGAGTATTTTAATGGATTACTCCGATTACCACCTCTCAAGGTTCAATAAGCTACCAAAAATTTGTAAGAAGGTTGAGAATTCTGGGGTATTGAAGGAAATCTCGTCTCTCCCCAATATCCCCAGGTAAATTTCACATTTGGAGAGCAATTCAATCGTAAATGTGTATTTTTAAATCGATATTTCACATTGACAATAATTTTTGTCTCGATTATCTCGCAATTGCACCACAAGAGGAAAGAACTATCTACGCAAAAGTTCTTTGCTTTCACTTCCTCAATCCGACTTGAGGACTTGTAAAACGATTACAATTGTTCTACACTGAGAACAATTTCCTAGAAAAATTCATATGCTAGTACCATAAATGAGTCACAATTTGCACACTTGGAAGAATTAAATTGAAGTAGTGAAGCAGTTTTTGATTAATATTTCAGGATCTAAGACAGATAGCAAAATTCTTCTTATGATCTTTTTTATAATCCTCAATTAGCTCTACAAAAAAGGTCATGACAAAAATTTTGCTATCTCTTTTAAATTCCGAGATATTTGCCAAAAACTGGCCAATACTCAAAATCAACTTGACCCGGTTTACCGCTTCGTTACTGAATTCTTGTGCATTACCAGAAAAATTGCTAGGCTACAACAGAAAAAATATTCTGTAGCACGAGAAAAATTATCGATTAACACCGGAAAAATTATTAGAGACACCATAATTTTTCTGGTGTTGCACAATAATTTTTCGCTACTTAACACGTGAATTTTTTTTCGTGTACCAATTTACTACTGAATTACTAATTTGGTATTCCAAAAGTAAAAAGGAGAAAATAAAACCGAGAAAACCCGATCCTGAGGACTCCCCTGATGAAAGAAAAAGTCTCAATATCCCGGAAGCGGAGGATAATTTTGGCATGACTATCATCCCAATATCATCCGAGTCCATCAATAAATCAAGACCCAAAGATCGAATTTCCGGTGACCGGAAATTACTGCGATCTCTCGATGAATTATTTCCACGTGGCTCGGAGTATCGTGACATAGCTGACGTTATAATGAGGGTAAATTTAATTCTCTCCTTGTTATCTATTTTCTCCGCATATTCAAATACTTTAATTGGTTTAAAAGATTGCACCCTTCGATTTCATTTGAAGGAAGTCATGTTAATGGACTTAAACGTAAGATGGAGTGATATTGTTGGGCTTGAAGACTGCAAACAAGTGCTTGAGGAGGCGATTATTTATCCAATTAGATATCCAGATATTTTTTCTGGAAAATTTACACCTTGGAATGGAGTTTTGCTTTATGGACCCCCTGGCACAGGTAAAGCTTAACAATTTATACATTTTTCGGAATAAAACAAAATTATGATGCAAAATGCAGGTAATAAAGGTTTCCTTCAATTGTTCGCTAATGAATAGATGGAATTAAATCTAAATATTCTCTATAGAATTGCCTCGGCTCAAATTTTCCAAATTTTTTTGTTCGATTTTCTTATATAAAAAGGAGATGTCACACGTTCATTCCTGAATGTCTAAGAAAAAAACGCATGCACGATGATGATGATACTGATGTGGTTGATAATGTTGGTAAATTTAAATTTTTTCTTCTCGTATACCCTTTCGGGTCTTTACGATTTGTTCCCTTCCCACCCCCCCTCCACCCCCTGTACCGCATTTGCCGAAGGGAGGGAAAAACCTGCCCTGGTACAGTCGTCCTTTTGACGGGACTATCGCTCGGCAGTGAAACTGTGAGATTGACCGCCGGTGCCGGGAAGCGAACGCGGATCATTGGCATACGAGTCTAGCACTCTAACCGCACGGCCACTACCGTCGGTGATAATGTTGGTAATGTTGGTGTAGATCTATGGAGAGATGTTTCCAATCACGGATAATTATATGTAGCTTTTTCGAGAGCTCGATCATGACATCCATTGAAAGTCTTTACAAGACAACAACGAAAAAAAATTATGTCTGCTAAGAGTTATATATTTGAGTAAATGGTATATATATTTATGTGTCTGTATAAAAGGAACCGACGTAATCGTATTCAGTATCCGAGATATTCATGGTTTTCCATCGACACCGCCCGTATAAATGAACATTGAATTATTTTCTGATCTTTGGCACCAACATCATTCCCTACAGAGCATGTGTTGATTCTCAATTGAAGTTTTCATGGATTTCGACGTATCTCCGACAAATTCTCGATAGAAATTTCCATCCCTTTGTGATAAAAAAAAATTATGGATTTTCTAAATCAATTTTCATCCTTTCCCACGAATTTCTGCTTAATAATGCGATAGAAATTTGTATACGTAAAATAACATATTGGTTCAAATCAACATACAATAATAACGTGGTGAATCATATAAAATCAATTATATTGATAGGCGCGTGGAGCGCGCCTTCGATCTCGTGGAAAGAAAAATAGAATGAAAAAATTTGAGCTTAGGAAATTCTATAGAAAATATCTCAATAGAATAAGTTGTGTAGAAAAATAGAATTCTGTTGATTTTTTCTACAGAATATTTTCTATTGAACGTTTTAACCCTTGATCACTCGCGCTCGGCCGCCAGTCTTCATCCGTCGGACGGTTAAACCGAACGCGCTGTTGCCACTTGGTGTTTAGCGCTATGCGCGCACTTCAAGTGTGGCAGTGAATGTAGCAATACTGCCGCTGGAGGGGTCGACACGGACTCACTCGCGCCGAGCTGTGCGGCGCCGCTTTCCTGTCCGTTCGACGTTTTTTTTCCTTTTTTTAGCTAAACAAATTCTCCGAGAAAAAAACGGACAACTCCAACGCTTAATAAAAGGATTGAACCAGGAACTCTAATTTTTTCAAAATTTTTAAGCGTCGAGAAACACGCTAAAGTATAAAAAAACGAAAATGGGCAGCCGCGCACATTGAGCGAGTGATCGAGGGTTAATTCAGTAGCGAAGTGGTAACGCGGTTTAAATCGACTCATCTCCCAGTTGAGTTTTTGAGGAATATTTCCGAATCTAAGGGAGATAGCGAAATTTTCGTAATTACATTTGTTGTAGCATTCAATCGACTCTACAAAAAAGGTTATAACAACAATTTTGCTATCTCCCTTACATTTCGAGATATTCATTGAAAACTGCTCGATAGTCAAAATTGACTTGTACCGTTTAGCCACTTCGCTACTGAATTGAATCGGCCAAAAACTAATAGAAAGTTCAATAGAAATCCAATAGAATTGTCTAGCGAATTCGCTAAGTTTTCAACAAAATTTTTAACTAAAAAGGTCGTACAACATTTTTCTACAAACCCACTCTTTTTCGAGATAATGGAAGAAAATCGTTATTAAATACTATTTTTGTTTATTATTGCATTCAAACCGTGACGGTTTATTCTGCAGCAAAATACAGTTATTTTGCATAATATTATCTACAGGTTGATTACTTATAAACATTGGATTTTTCTTAGGACTTAGTTACACTTAGCTACATAGTTAATTTCTTTCGTGAGTTGGACTCGATACATTTCAACGTGAGGGAATTAAATACTATTCTTTCCTCCCCAGGGAAGACAATGTTGGCTAGAGCAGTTGCAACAGAATGCAACTGTACATTCTTCAATATTACCGCTAGTACTCTTATCAGTAAGTGGAGGGGAGACTCGGAAAAATATGTAAGAGTTCTCTGTGATTTAGCGAGGCATCAAGCACCATCGATCATTTTCATCGATGAGATTGATTGGATTACTTCGGGGGATAATGACGCTGGGACTTCTTCTGAGCCTGCCAGGAGGTTCAGGGCTGAATTACTGGCGAGATTAGATGGACTGGTGACACTCCATGGATCCAGAGTCGTTCTCCTCGCGACTACTAATGCTCCTTGGTATTCATTTTACATTTATTTTGATTTGTCATTTGGGGAGGGTATTTGATACATTCGAGGGAATACATCGGGTCTGCGTAATTACGACATTATCTTGGTAGTGAATAGCCCCAAGGGAAATTTTAAATAAAAAAGACAATTGTGGAGACGTTTCTCAACTACAAAAAGGATTTTTCGTTCATATAAAAGGAAATTGCTTGTGTCATAACATAGTCAATATATTTTTGGTAATAAATTTGCACTTTGCCTCCTAATGGGATTTTTATGTCAATGTCTTTTAAATTTAATTCAATGAATCCTTGAATTCAATATTGGTTATTACCAAAATCGGTTAATTACCAAATTATCCAAGTAAATATTGACTTTATAAAGAAATATCAAAAAACATTTCTTATAATAAATTTTCTTACTACCAAAAAAGGATTTTCAGATCTTTCTTTTTATTCGTAAAATGATTTTCATTCAACAATTCCTTCCTAAAATTCGTGAAGTAAAAATATTCACTCTTGTATTGAGAAAGAAATATTTTCGAATCAGCAATTCAAAAATGCTCAATTCAACGATACAAACTCTTCGTATCAAGTATAATATTTTCCGTTCAAGAATAGTTCTCATCGGTTGAAATTATTTCTTCATCTAGGAATTTGGATGCAGCTCTGCTGAGACGTTTAGAAAAACCTGTTTTAATAAATCACCCAACAGTATCTGCTCGACGACAAATGCTGAAGTACTACACATCCCCAACGCTTCACAAACAGAACGATTTCGAGCAATTGATAAAGGAGACTGAATTCTACTCTGGATCAGACTTGAAGCAGATGTGCAAAGAGGCCTGGATGATTCAGATGCGACAGTACATCTCCGCAGAACGAGAAAAAGACGTAAATAAATCGAAAGTGCCAGATCAGATAAATTCGATGGATGTACTCAAGACTGCCAGAAAAATAATTCTACCCACAACGAAACACTTGACTGACAGATATAAAGAATGGGAATCAAGAGTTAAGTAATCAACTGCCATTTGACCAATTTTTATGATTATTGTTTTGAATTTTGTTTCGTTTTGTTTTTTCGTATAAAAAATTAAGCTACATCACATCTTATTTTTTTCGTCGCTCGGCATTACTCTGAGCCTGCTTCATACCGTGGTAGTACCCTGGAAGAATGAAGTATAGGATATTCAGATTTCCAAGTGAGAAAAAATTGGAAAATTAAAATTTCGAGAAATTTTACTCAGGTTTGAAGTGGTGAGAGGATTCTTTATGAGTTGAAAATTCATTTATTACTGCCTTTAAAAAAATATCCATTTCCTGTCACCACTTTATAACAAAATTCATTATTAATTGGTTATTGTTATTAATTTGTCTCATACCTGTATGGAAGCCACTGATGTACCAAGACATGAGCATACTCGACAGTGCGTCAGCGTCATTTGCAGGAAGTCTGGAAGAATCGAGAAAAAAAATGACAAATTATGAATATTTCATTATAATCACTAATCATTTCGATATAATAAAAAAGAAGCTGAATAATCTAATAATTACTGTTAATTCATACCCGTCTTATTTTATTTTTTCTTCTAATTTGGAAATTTAAGTTTCCAAATTTTTATGCTAGGGCAACTAAATATGGTCTGTATGCATATATGTATGTGTTTTTTTGTTCATTTTTTTCGAAATTTTCTTATGAAGGGGTCCAATAAAGCAATTACGAGTTGAAATAATTCGTACAATGTTATTAGGATAGCATTCGCATAACGACGAATGAATTACAATGCTTCCAAGACACAAAAACTATGCGAAAAATGAACCAAAAGATAAAATAACAGATGATATAACTAGGATAAAGAATATAAAGTAAACAATTATTGATAAAATAATAGTTCGTAATGTTCTACTATTTTTTAATTTTATTGATTTGAGTAATCGTTAGAATCGCATTAATGACTGTAAATAGTTGAGGAGTTGGATTTTTAGTAAGTATCGATGAAATTAAAAAATTATTGATAAAAGATGAATATAATTTACCTGGCCATCATATGTGGGGGCAGGGGAGGAGCAGGTGGTGTAATGCCTCCAAAAGAGAACGCTGAAGGTCCAGGAACATTACTTCTCGACTGCTTAGGAATTTCCGACTCGTAATCCATTGCCTCTCCATTCTCTCTGACATTTGCGTGAGAGAAAGCTTGAGATGTCTCCTCAACCGTTGAATAATCGCAGTTTTTCACTGCTGCTGACTCTTTCTGTTGAGCTATCTGAGCCTCGAGACCCTCAGACTCTCGAAGAGAGGATAATTCAACTTTTTCTGTGTTTCCATATCCTAAAATAAAACGGATAAAATTAATGAATTCTTAGTGAATAATCGTTACATATGTTTATTCCTTCAAAAATAAGTTGATTCAGGCGAATGGGTGAACAGAGTATTTTGGGAATACAACAGAAACTTTTTTTTAGAAAATATCTTCCACGACATTTGGTTGAACTAATGACAAACGAATTGATTCACAATATTAATAAATTGAAATTAGGAATTAATTGAATTGATAATTAGACATTAAAAAAATGAAAAACACAAATTAATGTGAAGTCATCTTTTAGTCATGTTCTCAGTGATGAGTGGAGAACTGGATAAATTTATCATTTCTGCTCTTCGAAAATTCATGTGAGTGAATTTTTTTTAAGTTCCACATTGTTACGAAATCGAATGATTTAGTCTATCCTCTTCCCCTCTTTTGTAAAATGAAAGAAAGTTGATTGCCATTCTCTGATGTTGGAAAAAAAAAGATCACATGTCACGCACGAAAAAATGTAATAGAAAAACCTTGCGAATTCGCTAGCCAATTCGATTGATGCTGGAGTATTACTAAATTAAATACGACAATATGTAAATAAGGAGTGAATAATTACCTACAAATTTGACGATACAAGTGCCACAATCATTGTCGAGTATTTTCGAGATAATTGCTTCGTATTCTATACCATCGGCTGAGTAAACTGCACGACATGGTGAGCCTAGAGTCCACTTCTGATCAATGAAACGAATTAGAATTACTTGAAATGGTATTCAGTAATTTTTATCTTCATTTTAATGTGATAAAGTATGTAACTCACTCACGATCCGATTAATACCATCGAATCATTGAATGATTCGAATGAATTATGTGGATGATTCGATCTAATTACGAACCTTTTGATAATTTCGTTGCTTGTTGGGCTGTTTATAACTCTGTGATTTATTCGATTTCCCACGTGGGGCTTCTGTCTCCATGCTGAGACGTTTTGCGACTTGCTCTTTAGCTAAATTGACAGCCTTGTCGTATGCCTTAATCAAGGCAGTATCATCCCAAATATCGTCAATATCCTGCAAGTGAATTTCAATTTTTTCGTTTCGTTCCATTAGAACTAAAACATAACCTGAAAATTGAATTTTTGGTACCTGTCCATTCTCTCGAACAAATAGAACGTTTTCCTCGTCTGCCATTACACCGATTATTATTCTCTTTGCATTGAGACAACCAGTTTACATGACTTTCAGTATTTTTATGATTTTTTGGGGTAAATGTTTAATGATAAAAAGAGTAAATAAGAGGCAGTTACTATATACTGGATACTGGAAAGGGCATTAATCGAAAACATCGATATTCATGCCTAAACATCGACATTTTTCGTTCGATTTTCTCAACTGTCGATTAATCAATTTTCGATTCTTTTTTCCATCGATGTTTTTGAGCCAGCTAATAAAATTTTTCAACTTTTTATCGGATAATAACATGGATTGATTGAGAATAAACAAAATAGTAATTTATTCGCAACCAGAGTAATTATTTTCAAAATTTTTAAAATATAATTTTTTTTTCTGTGTAATGAGAAAAACATCGATTTTTCAAAATAATCGATGTTTTTTCCAGAAAATGATTTTTCCGTACTGACCTTCACTTTTCCTCGTCCGAGAATTGGTATTGGCCCTTCCCCAAACTCGTAAAAGTGAAAATCACTACAGAAAAATACTGAGCGCACGTTTGAATACATGAGTCTCAAATATAAAATTTTTTAAAAGGAATTTATCGTTAGATAGGATGAAACAAATTTAAGGAAGAAAAGAAGCAATTTGAAATAACACATCTCGTTGGTGTCAATCTCCAAATAATGACCAGGACTTCAATTTTTCTCAATATTTGAAGACCGTTTTCGTTCCTGTTATTGATTTTGTTTTCACGCACCTGCACGGAAAGTTCGTACATTACTCCCTGATAAGCGGGAGGAAAGTGACTACTTTCCGCTCTAGGGTGAAAAGTTACTCCCTCGGGCGGAAAGCACTGATTACTTTTCGCTCAAGGGTGGAAAGTCAGTACTTTCCTCCCTCGGGACCACATTTCCACCCTTGAGCGGAAACTATTCACTTTCCTCCCGCTCACCAGAAAGCAAAACACAAACGTTTCTTTGGCGTGTTAAAAAATAACATGCGCATCTCGGACGGGGAAAACATGATTTTCCGCCCATGATGCATAAACTACGATTCCGTCTCGGCGGGCGCAAAGTTACATTTCCCTCCCGCTTCGCGGCTGAGGATCCTTTATTTTCCCTCCCTAAGTTAGAAATATACTATTTTCTTCTTTTGTTGAAAAATCATCTGGATTCTGGAATCTTACAACGGTCCTGCTCGAGTGGAAATTTTGATCAGGTTGGCTGATCAGAAGTAAGACAGAAATCCGATACTGGTTCGCCTTTTCTGATCAGGCGTTTCCGATAAGTATTCAGCCAGTTACTGACGATACTATCTGGATCAGTCGGGACTCACCCGAGTGGAAGTTCTGTTCAGGTCTCGATCAGAAACTGATCAAGTCCGATCCGAAATTCTGATCAGGCATGTTACGCCTCCACCTTGTGTTTTTCCACTAGGGTTTCTCCACCTACCATCATTAGGCATTAATTAAATTTAATTTTTTTGAGAAAAAATTAGTAACTTCCAAGCCGGGAATCGAACCCGGAACTCCCAATGTCGCGTCGGGTGCTCTTACCATCTGAGCTACCAGGACACTTACGAATTTCACTCTCAAATTGACTCATACCCGGGTGGAAATTCTGTTCAGGTCTTGATCAGAAACTGATCATGATCAAATCCGATCCGAAATTCTGATCAGGCGTGTTACGCCTCTGCCTTAGGTTTTTTCACTGGGGTTTCTCCGCCTTCCATCATTAGGCAATAATTAAATTTAATTTTTTGAGAGAAAAAAATAGTAACTTCCTAGCCGGGAATCGAACCCGGGACCTCCCAATGTCGCGTCGGGTGCTCTTACGATCTGAGCTACCAGGACACTTATGAATTTCACTCTCAAATTGACTCATACCCGGGTGGAAATTCTGTTCAGGTCTTGATCAGAAACTGATCAAGTCCGATCCGAAATTCTGATCAGGCGTGTTACGCCTCTGCCTTAGGTTTTTCCACTAGGGTTTCTCCGCCTTCCATCATTAGGCATTAATTAAATTTAATTTTTTGAGAGAAAAAATTAGTAACTTCCTAGCCGGGAATCGAACCCGGGAACTCCCAATGTCGCGTCGGGTGCTCTTACCATCTGAGCTACCAGGACACTTACGAATTTCACTCTCAAATTGACTCATACCCGGGTGGAAATTCTGTTCAGGTCTTGATCAGAAACTGATCAAGTCCGATCCGAAATTCTGATCAGGCGTGTTACGCCTCTGCCTTAGGTTTTTCCACTAGGGTATGTCAATACTGATTTGTGGTTTTTTCGATTTTTTCAATCATTTAGTATCTGAATATCTATAAAAACCGGAGTTTTCATGTGGAGAGTGAGTTTTAATTGATATATATCTTGTTATCTTAATTATGGTGGTCTGAAGTTACTTCTTCGAAATCTGTTTTGATTTAGATTTCTATTCTTAATTCTATCTTTGTAGATTTGGTATCGGGTTCGTCGGGTGCTCTTACCATCTGAGCTACCAGGACACTTACGAACTTCACTCTCAAATTGACTCATACCCGAGTGGAAATTCTGTTCAGGTCACGATCAGAAACTGATCAAGTCCAATCCGAAATTCTGATCAGGCATGTTACGCCTCCACCTTATGTTTTTCCACTAGGGCAGTCTTTCTTAATCGTATTCTGATCAGTCGAACAGTTCGAATCCGGACATTCGGATCAGATTTGGCTCCTCAACAGCGTTACAAGGTCTTGTCAAAAACTGACCTTGTTCAGTTTTTACGGATCAGTTTCGGACTCCAGCCTGATCTGAATTTTTACTCGGTAGACGCGACAGGAGTGAGGGAATAGTCAAATGACCATTTCTCATTAACACATCGCGCGATGCGCTGTGATTGGCGACCATCGCGCCGCTACGCTTTCGTACGGTTTGCGAGTCAGAGGGTTAAGGCGATATGAACAATAAATAGCGAAGAGTTTGTACGTAGACATATCTACGATTATTTTTATATCTTCAATGACCCTTACTATCTGTAATGACATCTCATGCAATCTACTCAACAGAATTCTTTCAATAATTAGAAAAATTCCATGATTGTGAATAAATTACGTAAGCGTATCAAACCGAGAGGGGGTGACTCAGGCTATTATAAAGATATGAACCCACTGTTCATTTTTCAATATCCTGTTTCGTTGTACCCCATCTTCATTCGATCGTTTCGTAACGTATAGGAAGAGAAGGTGGACTTAGTTCATAGCAGTGGCTAAAAAAATAATTATGAAGTTAGCTATTACTGTTTTCCTCTTCACCCTGTATGTCACCTGTGCGGTTGCGAGATCTCCTCCAAAGCCAGGTATGACCGTGAAGCGAATATTTCTCTTCCAAGACAATCTTGATGGTTTTTAAATAGCAATTGAATCGCTTAGCGATAGCATAGCGTTACCGCTTAGCGGTAACCTTTTATTTTCCCTCCCTAGGTTAGAAATATACTATTTTTATATATTTTTCAAAATATAATTTTTTCCGAGTCGGATGTTGTTCTTTCAGGATGTGATGGAGATAGCTGCCCAGGTCCTCTAAAACTATATAAAGAATTGGGTTGCCAGCCGATTAAAAGGAATCCTGATGATTGTTGTGCTATGAAATACGACTGTGATCACTTAAAGTCAAGATCACACGACAAATGTTACGCTTTTGGCAACGAATACAATCCCACTGAAGCAATAAGTAAGGAAGATACCGGCTGCCTTCCCACATGTACCTGTATCAAAATAGAAGATGAAAAGTGAGCACTCTTGTTGAAATTTATGTTGAACACTTCCAGCAAACACATTAACCATGTTTTCAAAATTCAAATGACAACAGGTTGGCCTAAGCGGTCTTCAGTAATTTTATAAATGTAGAAATTAAGTTAAAGTTGAAAAATTCTGTGTGATAGCCATGACGGCGGTAGGCAGAGATTCACGGACGCGGAGCAAAGCGGAGCGTCCGTGAAACGCTGCCTTACGGCCGGAATGACAAAAAAGATCTTACAAAAATTTCGCTATCTTTCTTAAATTCCGAGTTATTCAACAAAAACTCAACTGGGAGCTAAGTCGACTCAAACCGATTGACCACTTCACTACTGAAATCATAGTAATAATCGCATACAATTTTTAGTTTCCAATTCTTAATTTTTGGAATTAATTCTATTTGTTCTATTGAAAGATGAGGATGGAAATCAAATTTATGGGTATTCTTTCATTATTCGAAAATATATTTGACAGGGTTATTCATCGGTAGGACCGTAAAAGGTGCAGTTTTACAGTTGCCGAGAAAATATATATATATCAAGAATAAGAATGAATCGAATTAACTTAATCTAATCCTCAAGACAGAAAAAGCGAAAAAAATAAAATTTGAAATTTGCTTCATGTGTCCGTTTAAGGGACACATGTATAACTTTCCGATGAAGTTGAAATTGGATATTCGGAAACTTCTTACGAAAAATTTGTTCTTTCAAATTCCAATTTCATGAATTTCAGTGTTGACACTTCTTTTTTGAAAAACTCAAAAACGGGTGAGGGGTTTTCTCTCCCAACGTGATCCAGTCTTAAGCAAGTGAATGCCTATCGATCGCGACCAATTTCATTTCGATCGCACTACGCGTCCGCCCGGAAGCGTTAACGAAAAAAGTGGGTACATACTGTGACGTCTTTTCCTAAACGCACACGCGGGATTCGTGTACGTGGGTAATCACGAACTTTGGGCTGCAACTTGGACTCTCGACCCGGAACAAAACGACGGGGAAATATGAGAGGAACCAATGTGCCAAGAGCGCCAGTCCTTTTAACCGCCAAAGGACAAGGTCACACCGTTGAGCCGCGTTCCACGACTAGCTCAGATAACCGCGGAGGCGTGTGGGAACAGGCTACAATGAGCGTACTCAACAATGCAATTGTTTATAAAACACACAAAAAATTATATTTCCAAATCATAAATCAAATGTGATCTTTCCCTCGTACATACGAGAGTTTCGGTAGAATTCTGTACACGTGCAGGAGAGGACTCCCACGAGCAAAGATGCTATACAAAAAAAAAATGTAACTGACCTAGCGATGCTAATTAACGAAGAGAAATAATAATAATCTTAAGAATGCGTGGGAGACGCTAAGACGCGGAGGATCACCCGCAAGCGATGACGACGCGAGAGCCACGACATAAAAGTTAATGGTGAAGGTCGACGTATTAAATGAGCTGGGATTAGTTTTTCCCACAAAAGAAGATTGGTAACAACAATTAAGTAGCGAAACTAATAATGACATCAATCAAGAGGTAGCTGGAGGCTACAGAGTGCCGCGTCACAAGCAGACTCTAACACATTCTCAAACGGCCCCAAAATGGGCGCCGGAGTGGATTCCCTACTGGAAAGACGCGTGCACTCACAAGGAAAATAGAGCCGTGATTTCGCGAGAACACCAGGCAGACTCGTCTGACCCTTCAGTACGGCGACGTTCGGAAGATAAAGCCGGAACCAACGGGCACAACACCACCACGTACTTTACTTCCGATCGATCAAATAAGCTCGAAGAGCGAAAAAAACTTAAATGGCGCAGAGCGACCTTATTGAAATAAATCCCAGCGAAGAGTGTTCGTTGGGGCCGTACATCGCCCCGAGGAACCCCTCAATTTCTCCTACCCCCACCCGATCACGTGATGAGCGCGAAGAATCTAAGTGATTCGACAATTTTTGACTCTCGCATTTAAAAATGGTCCTAATTCCCAATTCCTCAGTCCCAGAAACTGGAACTTGCGCCTCGCGGTCGGTGAATGTGATCCGCGTTGAGCGGCGCAGAAGCCAACATAATCCGATGCTCCCTCAATGCTGTAACATCGGTTTTTTACTGGACGGCCTTGTGCCGTCGATCCATCGGTGAGGCGGTGGGGGTTCGCACGTAGAGACCTGAGATGCCTGCTGGCGTGCGTCGGTCGTCTCTCGCGTCCTTCGTGGTGTGAGTCTCCCAGACTCGGTGTGTGCGTGCTAGTCGGTGTGCTACTCGTCATCTGCTGTAGTGCCGACTTGTAGTCATTCCCGATGCTCCGCTCCACTCCCCTCGTTACGAAGCTCACGTAACCCACGGTGAGCGCGATCGACAGAGTTCGAGAGAATGATGAAAAGAAAGTAAATAATAGAAATAAAAAAAATAAAATGACAATTGTGGCTCTGGGTGATCCAACTCCTCGCTGAGGTAAAAATACTAATTTTCCCCCCATGATCCGCGGTCAGTTCAGGCGAGGAACAGTACATGATTTTTATCATCTTACAATACACATACACACATACACTTTTCTAAAAACCATCTGGGGAGCTTCTACTCATCATGAAACGTTGACATTTCATGAAATTACAATTTTTCATTTTCGGGGTGAAACCAATAACTTCCTATCGGGAAGTTAAGGTACTTCCTTAGTGAGTTATACTTGGTGAAAATTTCGCAATGAACTGAAGACCTAAAATTTGGATCATATGTTGTTAAGGGCATGTAAAAACGACTCCCAAAAATTTTTTCCACGCGAATTTTTGAGATATCCATCGTCAAACATTCAATTTTTGTCTTTTTTCAGTTTTTGTCGATGCATATCTCAAAAATTCGTGTGGAAGAAATACTTGAAATTTTGGGAATAGATTTCACATGTGCTCAACAACATATGATTCAAATTTTAGGTCTTCAGTTCATTACGAAATTTTCACCAAGTATAACTCACTGAGGAAAACGGACGAAAAAAATTGATAAAAAAACCTATCGAATTCGTTAGAAACNGGCATGTAAAAACGACTCCCAAATATTTTTTCCACGCGAATTTTTGAGATATCCATCGTCAAACATTCAATTTTTGTCTTTTTTCAGTTTTTGTCGATGCATATCTCAAAAATTCGTGTGGAAGAAATACTTGAAATTTTGGGAATAGATTTCACATGTGCTCAACAACATATGATTCAAATTTTAGGTCTTCAGTTCATTACGAAATTTTCACCAAGTATAACTCACTGAGGAAAACGGACGAAAAAAATTGATAAAAAAACCTATCGAATTCGTTAGAAACCTCTATTGAATTTCTATTGAACTGTTCTGTTAGTTTTTGGCCGATTCTATTGAACTGTTCAATAGAAAATATTCAGTAGAAAAATTCAATAGAATTCAATTTTTCTACATAACCTATTAAGATACTATTGAGATATTTTCTATAGAATTTCCTCGGCTCAAATTTTCCAAGTTTTTTCGTTTGATTTTCTTGATGAGAAGAAAGGAAAAATGGAATGAAAAAAACTTAAGAGAAAGAAAAAATTTGAGTCCAGGAAATTCTATAGAAAATATATGAAAATAATAAGTGACATAGAAAAATCGAATTCTGTTTACTTTTTCTATTCAATGGTTTCTATTGAACATGTCAATAGAATCAGCCAAAAACTAATAGAAAGTTTAATAGAAACTCAATAGAATTTTCTAACGAATTCAAGAGGTTCTATAAATTTTTTTCGTGCGTAAAGTACCTTAATAATATAGCATAGAGTAATGTTGCGACGGGCGCTTCGCGCTCGTTTGCTAGTTACGAATGAAACCAATTAAATCGGAGAAAAAAACCTATTTTTCTAACTACTAAAATGGAAAAATGTTGAAAAATATTGTTAGCCCATCGCAAAGGATTCTTTAACTTCAACTTCATTTCTACGTTTATAAATTTGCTGAAGACCGCTTAGAGCAACCTGTCGTTACCTGAATTTTGAAAATAATTACAACAGTCAAAAAAGCCTATTCAAAAAATTAACCATTTTCTTACTACTCAGAGCAACGTGGGCTTGTGCCTCGGTTTACATCCCAGTATCAACCGCTGCTGGATGCTACCACCCACGAAACGCTACAATGTGCTTCCCTGGACCTGAAACTTGTCGTAGGTACCCCAGCCAGGGATGTAACGAACAAAGCTAACTGGTCAATTTACCGTCATTTTACATGTAAATTACACATTACTGATCGCACGCCAATTGCTGACCGTTCTTGGTTAGAAAAAGAGTAACCGACTTTCGGGAAATTCTTCTGATTTTTTGCACTTCCATACTAAGGTAATATTCACTAAATTTCCGATTTCCGTTTCCGCGTTATTCATAATTTTATTCGATTTTTTGAAAAAAATCGCGAAGAAAGTGAAAAAAAAATACTGACGGTTGGGTGAGTTGACCGGTTATTTTGTATCACGAGGTATGCGTCAGGTCAAAAATGGTCAGGAATAAATTACGACTGACTTGACGCATGCCAAAAATCACCGTCCTTTACATCCCGAACATAAATTCAGTAGCGAAGTGGTAAAAGGAGATAAGTCAATTTTGACTATTGATCAGTTTTCAATCAATATCTCGGAATCTAAGTGAGATAGCAAAATTTTTGTTATAACCTTCTTTGTGGAGCCGATTGAGTGCTACAACAAATGTATGTTTGGTGAGGAACTAGATTTAGGGTGGATTGGGAGGTTAGAGGATTGTCGGTGTGAAATAATTGTTGACAGTCTTGAACTAATATCCACGTGCATTTATTCTCGAGTTCGAACCACGCTTTGTCAAATTTACAAAAACAGCTTATCACTTGTTGATCGTACTGAGTTAATTTAATTGTCTATCGGTTTTGCACTGTGAGTCACTGGTTGAATGGTCAATAAATAACGTGATTTTCTTTTACTGAATTTCTATCGCCGAGTTAATAGACGCTAATGTACTGTGGTCTAAACTCTACAGAGTTGAATTCCATTCAAAACGTGCTATACGACAGACCGTGATGTACTGACTCGCGTTGATTTACGGTGACTCTACTAGACCTGAGCGTTAACCCGGAAAGGGCCGATGATTTTCGTAATTGGCCGAGCTGATCGACCTTGGTCTTGGAGAGGTTGAGTTACGTTTCAAACAATGTAATTACTAAAATTTCGCTATCTCCCTTAGATTCGGAAATATTTCTCAAAACTCAACTGGGAGATAAGTCGACTTATCTCCGTTTACCACTTCACTACTGAATTATCTGTTGAACCTCTTTTATGGATTATGAATAACATTCAATCCAGCTCCGAATCCAGAGGATATTCCCAAGTGTGAAGTAGATGGAAAGACTTTTGAGGATGGTGACTATTTCGAGCCAGAAGGAAAACCCAAGAAAGCCTGTTGGTGTGGTCCCGGTTATAAAGGTAAAGCACAAGAATCTTACTCTTCCCTCATTCTCTCGGATTCGATTTGCTTCAAACAATCTACTTAATTCTACTCATGATAGGAGAAAATACAATGCCGTTCTGTAGAAACATGAAGGATGAGAGGTGTGGATATGAATTGAAATATAGATCGGAATTAGAGAAGCACTGTGCTCCAGTTTGGAAAATGGAACAAGAGCCTGCAGTTGAATGCAATCCGATGTGGCGATGTCGTGAGTTGAATCTGCTGATTAACATTGCCAATGTGAGCAATTGAATTGTTCGATTCTGGGTTACTCATAATTTTTCTTGTCCCTTATATCAGAAAAAGCCGGTGATGAGATAACTCCAAGAGAGAAAGCCCTCGGAGTTCCGGAAAATGACACCCCAGATCCTGTGGGGATGACATGTCGAATTGGAGACCTAAATATGCGTCTTGGGGATGAATTAAATGAGATATCTGCGGATGGTCCAGACTGCATCAAGTGTGTATGCGAAATTCCACCAGTGGCGACTTGTGCGAAAATTCCCAAGAGTGTTTGCCTCATGACCGCTGAGGACCTCAACGATTCTGATGAGAAAAAATCATAGATTAAGCACAAGCAGATACTTCGACCGAAAAGAATTCCTTCTACTCTGTTGCTTAATATTATATCTACTATTAAAAGTGTGCAAGATGTTTTCGGTCTTCGTTGAAGGAAATCATTCATTGTTATAAAATATATAAAACAATCAATGTTATTGAAAATGTTTCTTGTCATTTCCTATAACCTTTGGATGTCTCTGGTGTTGTCGACTAATTTCGGCTCGAATAAATGCCTGAGGTTCCGTAGCACTTCCGTAGCACTAAGCCCACGTTTGAATACATGAGTTTCAAATATAAAATTTTTTAAAAGGAATTTATTGATAGATAGGATGAAACGAATTCAAAGAAGAAAAGGAGCAATTTGAAATAACATATCTCGTTGGTGTCAATCTCCAAATAATGAACAAGACCTCGATTTTTCTCAATATTTTAAGACCATTTTCGTTCCAGTTATTGATCATTTTTTTCTTTTTCTTTTGCTGAAAAATTATCTGGATTGTGCGGATTGTCCGGACTGCATCAATTGTGTTTGCGAAATTCCACCGGTGGCCATTTGTAAGAAAATTCCCAAGAGCATTTGTCTCATGACCGCTGAAGAACTCAACGATTCTCATGAGAAGAAATCATAGTTTAAGTACAAGCAGATGCAATTTTATATCTACTATTAAGCATGTGCAAAATGTTCTCGGTCTTCATTGAAGGAAATCATTCATTATTATAAACTATACAAAACAATCAATGCTATTTCAATGCTAAAATTGACAATGGACCTTTCGTCTCGAACAATGAAGAGTTACCCATAAACTTCATTCCTATTGCAGAATAAATAGGATGAAAAACAGGATAGAATACGAGAATCGAGAAACTTCCATCGGGTGAATGTTATATAATATTAACACGAAAATAACGATGATCTTCCATTGATCAGGAAGTCAACTCGAAATGGCATCCAGAACACTGACACTTGATGATTCGATTTGAAAAGCTCAGCATTTTAAATTGATATTAACGACGAATGGAGAACCGTTTTGATTCTGACGTATGTTCAATGCCACTCACTGTGCTTCGTGAGGCTGTATTTCCGTCTGTGCTGTTATATTCTTTCAATAATAAGAAAAGTTCTACAATCTAAGATCAATTATGTCAACTTATAAATCTGGCAGGCGAGAGATCAGACTATTACGAAGATGTAAGTCGTCTTGTGTATATTTATCTTTATGCTTCACGATACATCTCATTTTGGTCTTATAATTCTGCCACGTCAGCGATAATAAAAGAATAATGAATATCTTGTAAGCATTATACAGCCAGGTAGAGCTCCCGGAAATATATCATATTTACAAGTGACTGAATTGTCTCTTTCAAATGGGATACCCTGTGCATTACTTTAATTATACTTGTCATAAGCTCGATTGAAGATTGAAGACCAAGTTCTAGGGACAGACTCTTCGTCGATGATTCTGTTGAACATGGTTAGGATGTATTGGAACCAGTTGTCAGGGAGCGCCTTGATAATTTCACCCGAGATTTGGTCAATTCCTGGGGATTTGCCAGTCTTGTAATTTTTAATCGCTAATTTCAGCTCGATCGCAGAGATTTCGCCATCAATCTAGGGGTTTCGCTCACTTATATTCCGAATATAAGGCGATAGAACTCGTTCCAGATCTCCACTGGGAGCCCAGGAAAAAATTTGTTGACTCTGCAGCTTCTGACAGCAGCCCAAAACTCCGAGGCATTTTTGACATTTGCTAGCATTTCTCTAACCTTTATTTCGTATTCTTTTTTTTTCTCTTCCACCAATTTTTTAAATTCGCCTTTAAGGGAAAGAAAATCGCTGAGTTTGGGTTCAGTGAAATCTGCTTTCTTTGTGCTGTACCTAGCCACTCTTTCCTCCTTCTTGAGAGCATGGCACTCTTGGTCAAACCAGGGTTTCGATTCAGTCCTCGTCTTGTTATTCTTGCTCCTCGTACAAGAAATTATCATTCCGGCCAGGTTGGCAGCCCAGTGGATGGCCTCGCAGAGGTTTTTGTTCAGCCGATCTATGGAGACGGATGGGTCCATAGATCAAGACACAAGTCAAGACACAAGTCGATTCTTCCAAGTATCTTGAGAACACTTCTTTGTTTTGCTTTTTCCATATAAGACGGGGGGCGTTGGGCTGTACGAAATCTTCATTTTTTGGGGGAACAGCGCAGGCCAGAAAGTACTAGTACCACCGGGAAGTGATGCGAGGAAGGAGTAGTGATATCCACGAAGAAGTCCTGGACTAAGGATATACAGAGCAACTTGATGAATACTAGGTCTATCACGCTCCTTCCCAGTAAAGTCACATACATGAAATTGGCAGGACGATCACTTGGAGATCTACCGTTTAAGACGACGAAACCATTTTCCTCCATGAACTCAATCAGTATTTTGCTATTTCCCGAGGGTCGCTCAACATTCAGAGAGAGCCTATCACTGAAGAGACTTGTGTCCGCGACTACCTGGGGGTCGCATGCTCCGAGTTGTTTGATTCTGCAGTTAAAATCACCTCCAATAATTAGAATAGGATTTTCCTGTTCATCTTCGATGGTCGATATCAGCCCTTGTAAGGATTCAAGAGCTGCAGATACATTCACACTGTTATTAAAATAAATGGAGTATAAAAATATTGGGAAGTCGTCAACGAAAATTTTGGACAGGATCCATTCACCACAAGTGTCCACAATTTCATACTGGAGGGAATTATGGACGAGGGTGAGTAGGGCCCCTGCTTTCAATTGAAGGCCCGAGTTGTAGACACGAGTTTGTAGCAGCGATGTCAGACAAGATATGAATGTTTTTTTGGGCTCAAACGAAAGAGCGGGTCGAGAAATGGCGTGCTAGGACCTCTAAAGATGGTTTTGAACCAGGGGAGACNACAATAATAGGAGTGCATTGACGATTTTTTCTTAACTCGCAAAAATCTTCAAACAATTTGCTACCGATTGGTGATAAAATTTTTTGGAAATAATGAAATAGGGGGGATAACGCCTTTTTTTTCAGGGGTGATTTTTTTAAAATTTATTTTTAAAAAAGTACTAACTAGCAAATGTTTTTTATTAGCTCGCAATTTTCTTCAAAACTACTTCAATGAGGAAAAAAATAAAAATTTGGAATATCTATACATGAGGGGCTAATTGATCGGATCTCCTTAATTATAACAGAGATTATAAGGGAGATTGCTAGCGCCTATGGAAACGCTTCAACCGCAAAATTTCGTAGCGAGTATGTACCTGTAAGTAAAACAGGGAGCGTGTGAGAGCGTCGATAACGGCGCAGAGTGGGGGGGAACGCGTATGGGGGAATCGAAGGGCGGAGCGAGCGGTGATGTTCGCTGTCGAGCAGGTGAGGGAAACCTACCGCAGTTCGAAACGCCGACGGACGGCGGAATCCTGCCCTTAATATAACAATCAATTTCTCCTTCCGTAATGAGGACGAAGGGATGAAACGGTTGCCAATCGATTGAAAATTGAATCCTCAACTGATTGCGATCTGTTTTATCCCTTCATCTGAATTAGAGGGGGAGAAACGAATATTTATGGATCGAGTGAGTCCCCAAACGGCTCTC